TAATAATTTAAGTTTTATATTTAAAAATACTAGTTAATTTAAAATTTTTTAAAAACTTGTAAAATTATAAAATTATATATAATTTAATATACTAAACAACTTTAAAAAATTAACTTTTATTATAAAAGAATTATTTTAATTAATATTTAAAAAGAAATATTATATTTGTAATACCTATATTATATAACATCTTATATATAATAATTATGTAAACTAGATTAGAGTAAAGATATAGATTTTTATTATATTATATATTTAATAGTATAGTATTATATAATATAGTGTTATGAATATAATTTTCTATTTAAAAATTACTATTTTAGATCTTATATAATATTATACAACTTTGTATAACTTTAATTATCTTAAAAAATATTGTATAGAATTTTATAATTTTTTTTTTTTATTTAAAAGTTTTAGATTTAATAAATTTATTATATAATTTTTAGATTGATATTTTTTTAGTTAGCTTGCTATAAATTTTTAAAAATTGTTCACAATAATATAGTAGGCAGCTGTAGTTTTAGAAAAGTAGTTTACTATAAATAGTATAGCATTTTGCTTGTAGCTTAAATTAACTTTTTTTTAATAAAATAATAAACAAAATTGTCTAAACTAAAAAAAAAATAATAATAATAAAATAAATTTACTATATTTTTTTATTTAAAATATCTATAACTTGTTCAAAGGCTATCTATATACAATACTAGTTATAGCTATATATAAATTTATTATAAAATAAATTTAAAAATTAGAATTAATTTTAGAATTAAAAAATATAAGATCTAGCAATTTTAGTGTAATAGTTAAGTTACTAGACTACTATATAAGAGGTCTGAAGTTCAAATCTTACTATTAATGAATTTAAATAATTATCTAGATTTTTATATTTAATTTACAGTAAACTTTGTTTGTTTCTGAAGGTTGTAACCTTATAAATCATATTGTACTAATATTAATTAGATATTGGAAATATAATATAGCATCAGATGTGATATAGTATTAAGTATAATATATTATTATATAAATAAATCTTAATAGAATCTATAAGTAGAGAATTTGCATAGTAAAAATTTTGAATTAGATAATATAGTACAGATTTTGACAGTTATACCGGTTGACATTTGATCTAGAAAAGAAGTCTAAATACAAATAATACAGATTAAGTAGATATAAGTAAGTCTATTATATGAGATTATATGATAGCACTAACTTAGCTTAGTAGCTAACTAGATTTAGAAAGATCTATCTTATAAAATATCTAGAAGAACTTAGAGAACTAATCTAGTAGAGAGCTATGACAAGAACTAGGTTTGTACAAATACTAATAAGAGTATATGCTAGCTTAATTAGGATATAGTATAATATAGTTAAAGTTATCTACAAACTTTTACTGGAATAGAACTATTAGAGTATCTTATGATAGAGTTTAGTTCTATAAAGACAATTTGAGATACAAATTAGTCTGAGTAGTTTTTAAAATGAGGTAGTATAAAATAGGTGTAGCAAATAACTGTATAACAAATACTATGAAAGACATTGTGTAGGCTACTAAAAAAGAAAAAGCGTATAGTATACTTATACATATAAAATTTTTTTTTTAAAAAAAGCGTATAGTATACATATATGTATAAAAAAATTTTGAGTCAGTTATACTAGTTTGTATACTATATATTTTATATAGTCATCGATAGCTTGTATTCGATTATTATAATTAATTTAATCACAATCAGGAGTTAATTGCTTAGTTATATTTATACAATTAATAAGAAAATTACTTTAACAGTTAATTGATTTAACTATAATACAATCGATAAATTATTAATAATGAGTTTTAATAATGATAACAAATCAAAAAAAAAGTATTCGACAAACAATATTTATTATAAAGTACAGTATATAACAATAACAATAAATTTTATTCAAATCGATATACAGTATAAGAAAAAAGCTAATTCAGCCTTAAAACAGGCTTTTACCCTAAATATTTATGCATAATGATAATGCTATCTCTATATCTAAACAAGTTTTAATGTTAAGCATAATTCAATATTTTCTTACGAATATATAATACAGTATACTGTACCTGGTATTTATTTTTCAAGACCATATTCACGCTCTTTAATAGCATTAGAAATTCGTAATTCCCTCAATTTTTCTTTACGTTCTGCAATTATCAACATGCGTTCCTCATATTCTAATTCTTCTATCATCGTTATATCAGATTCTTTGGGTTCGTTATTGTTTTGAGATTCGTCAGTTAAATCAATTACTTTAGATATTCATTGTTTTTTATTTTTTTTTGTTAAGGATTTATCTTTAGATTGTCATTTGGCTATTTATACAAATAAATACAATTTAATAAATATAAATATTAAAAAAAAAAAATTAAATAAATAAAAAATACTAACTACTTTGTTTAATTGCTAATTTTTTTCATACAATATTACTTTTATCTTGACCACTTAAATTAATATTGTAATGAGCTTTTATATCAACTCTTTTAAAATTATGCATGTCTATATTTTGTCCTCTAAAAAAATTAAATAATAAGTAATAAAAAAAAATTACAATATTAATATCAATATATTATATAAATAAACCTTAATATTGCTATCATTAGTTCAAGTTGTTTGCCTTCACAATTACTCATAGCATGTGCTGCTTCTGCACAATTCATATTATTAGGTGCTATATGCCAAGAATCATATGAAATCTTTGAAATATTTGAATTAAGAGATGCGATTATATAAGGTTGTTTATAATATCGAACCCAATCTATTTTATTAAAAAAATTATTTAATTTAATTTATTTAAAAATATATATTATATTAATTATAATTTATAAAATTTACTCACAAGATTACTATCTAATATTAATAATTCATCAAATATTAATTCTACTTCTTCAGCTGTTGCAGTTAATAATAATTACATTTTGGTTTTAATATCAATTTTAAATCTTTTTTCATATAATTTTCTATGTATATAAAAATAAATTATTAATATTAATATAGCATGTATTGTAATATATTTAATAAATATAAATTTTAATTACTATTATTAATTACTATTTATAATGAACTTGACAAGATTTGAAAATATGAATTAAATGCTCTTCTCAAGTATAAGAATTATCAATTAAAGCTAAAGCTTCACCTAATCCAGTAAGCTGTGCTATATCAAGATCACTGATAATACAATTCTATCCTTTTCCATGAATATGATTAAACTTTGCTGAATCACTAGTAAATTGTTTGACAAGATCAAATAATGCATTAAACATATATTAATATGCAATGCTAGTTGCTTGATTTGTAAATATTCGAGCAAAAGTTAAAACTAATATATAAATAAATTATAATTAATATATATTATAAAAATATATTACTTATATATATGTATTATATAATATAAAAAATATTTACTTGTATTATACTGTTTATCGTAATAATTTATTTCAAATTCATTAATTTCACCAGCGACTCTTTTAAATGATAAGTCAATTTCGAAATAATTACATTTTATCTATTTTTGTATTTGAACTTGAGTAGTACAAATAATCATTACATGTCCATCATTAAAAAAATCTAAACCAAATAAATAAATTAAATAAATAAAACTTTAAATTTTGAAATTTATATTTATATACTGTAATACTTACTTAATCGTTGAACATAATCCTGAAAGTTATCAATATTGCGAGAAAAATTGTATACAACTCCTAATAAGTTTTGACCGAATGGATGTTTTTCTTTTTGAATCTTGTTTACACAATATCGTAACTTGTTTGTATCATTTAGTGAAGCATGTACTTCACATAAATTATCAACACCAAAATAAGTTCTGATTAAATTGCCTAAAATACAATAGAAAATAATTAAAAAATATTGTATTATAAATATATAGTATTAGATAAAATTTACCTGTTACAATACGAGTAGGAGTTACATCTAATAAATCTTCATTAGCCTGTTTAACAAGTGTTTGCAATCTTTGTTTAATATTATCTGGAGTTCGTGTAGGAGGTGGTGGTGGATGTGTATGTAATCCTTTACATATAAGAATTACAAATGGACATGCTTTAAGATCTAATGGTATAATTTTATAAAATTCGACTTCACATGATTTTTTTTTAATTTGACCACGACATATTTTGTTTTCTGATTGATGAGGATAAGCTAATAATGCAATATAAAATATTTAAAATTAAAATATTATAGCAATTGTTATTTTTTATTATTAAAATACTTACGACAATATTTTTTTTTTGAAGAATTTGAAAATACAACATAACATTCATTTGTAGACCCATTATCAATATAGTTAGGCTATAAATAATTAAATTAATTATATTAATTAAATTATATAATTAATTAATTAATATAATGATTAATTAATTTACCTCATAAGTACCATCAAATAATCTGCGCAAAAGCTCAATATTAATATCAGAAGAAATACGCATAAAACGATGATATTTTTCTCCTATTTTCCAATTAGTACATCCAATAAAATAGGTAGATTCAGAATGATTTCGACATGATAAACGACGTAAAATAGGTTTGCCTTCACATAAATATTTATTTTTTTGGAACTTGCAAGGTGTTTCAAGAGCCGCAAGATAAAGTCTATAATTAAATTTGATTTAATTATTATTATATCACAGCATTATAAAACTTTTCAATTTTTATTGCTTACTCAAATGTGTTATTATCTATATTATTAGATGAAATTTCTTGAGTTATTCGCATCATAATATCAGAATTTATATCGACACATTGATGTGTTTGATTATGTAATTCATTTGCGGCAAATTCACAGAGTTTTGAACTTTGACAAGTTCGCATTTCACGTTTTACTTCAACACCAAGATAAGAACACATAACTTTATATTCACCACCAGGCTTGCCAATTGAATATTGAATCTAAAAATAAAAATATATATAGTAAGTAAAATATAGTAATTATAATAACACATAATTAAATTAAATAAAATTCTAAAATTTACTAACATCTTTGAATGCAGCTAACGGTTCATCCCAACCCTCAACATTATACACATAAGCAACACCTTCTAGACTTGTTTCGGGATATTCTATAGGAGTTAAAGTATGATAAACAATTTTTGATGCCAATTCCTTAGTAAAATATGTGGTTGTATCTTCATTTAAATCGTTTGCAACATCATCTTGACGTTCATCATCGGAAGAAACCAATACACTTGTATTTTCGAAGGATTCCAGATCTTCTTCATAAATAGTTTCAATGTCATCAATAATGTGAAAATCAGGGTTATTGCTAGTACGAAGGTCAGGATTATCGATAAGATAATAGTCAGGATCGTCAATAGTTCGAAAGTCAAGATCGTCCATTTCAAGAAAAAAAAATGCGATGAATATACATTTTACACTTGGCTTTAATTATTTAAATAAAAAAAAAATCTTACGTACAAAATACACACACACACACTATCATACGATTATCCAAAACATTTCAGCATAATTCTACATATATAATGTCATGGGCTTCGTCGTTTGAAATACCGCCTTCTTTAGTGAATATATAATTCTTAAAATCATGTGATCAATTTTCCCGTGTATTTATCGCTATTCATTTTTTTTTTCCTTTATATTATATACTAATTACATCATTCCTGTCATTCTCTATATTAATTTTTTTAAACTTCACTTTCGCTATTCATTTATTTTTTTTTTACCTTTATATTATAATCATTACAGCATTAAATAAAAAACTTTAATAAAAAAAATATATATATTTACCATATAAAGTAATTTCATTCTTCGTTCGTTCATTTGTTTATTTCTTTAATCGTTTAAAAGCTTTATCTTTTGCACAGACGTATTGCAACGTGCTTATCTTCATGTAACGCGAATATCAAAACAAAACTGTTTATACATTAGTTCAGAGTCTGAGTAAAGTTATAACAAAGAGATTTCTTGCAGGAAATTTTATTGTTAAAACGTAAACAAGTAAAATTTTTGAGTTATATTTAACTTAACCTGATCCTATATAACGATAAGATGTATTATTGTTCATATGATATGATCTTATGATTTTTTGAGTAATATATAAAGTAGTATAGTAGGAAAAATAAGAATAGTAGCGTAGGGCAACTTTAAGTTCTTATACTTATACGTATATTTAATAATCATACTTATCAAACTTATAAGTAGAAAAGATGACCATACTTATAAGTATAGTAAGTATGAGGACGACCATACTTGTAAGTATGGATGATTATACCTGTGCAAAAAAAATTTGAAGCGAACATTTCACGTGACATGAGTACTAACTGATTGTAGGGAAGATCGGATGTATAATATAGCGTGACGGGTGATAAATTAGTGATTAATTAAAAAGTATAAGGTAGCGAAAGTTAAGTTTAAAAAAGTTAATATAGAGAATGACAGGAATGATGTAATTAGTATATAATATAAAGGTAAAAAAAAAAATAAATGAATAGCGAAAGTGAAGTTTAAAAAAGTTAATATAGAGAATGACAGGAATGATGTGATTAGTATATAATATAAAGGAAAAAAAAATGAATAGCGATAAATACACAGGAAAATTGATGCACATGATTTTAAGAATTATATATTCACTAGTGCTCCGAACGGGTCTGGTTCGGGTCGGGTTGAAACACTTTCGGGTTAGCACTTCAACCCGACCCGAACCCGACCCAAAATTTTTAAAGCTAACATGAGCTGCTGTCAATAGAAATCAAACTAAGTAAATTTTTTTGAAATTTTAAACAAATTTTAATAATTTTTTTAAAAATAAATGTTAAAGTTTGTAGAAATTCATTTAAACAATTTTATATTAAATTTAATTAAGTTATT